ACCTTCTGAGCACTTAAGTTATGGACAAGCTGTGCTGCCCATCCATCATTCATGTAAGTACCAGGGATCTGAACTCAGGTCTTCATGCCTGCAAAGCAAATGCTTTATCCACAGAGCCATCTTCTAAGGCCCCAAATTTCTGTACTAAAGTGCTTATGCAACAGATGTATTTACTATCCTCAAATACTAGGAACAAATCAAATATTCTTCTATTGGATGAATGACTCCAAGTGCGCTTTTCAATGGAAACTACCTACAAGGAACAAAACGCTAGCACACAAAACTCCAAGAATGAATCCCAAAAGAATCATGTGGAAAGACCAATTTCCCTTTTCATGTATGTGTGGTATACATGTGTGTGTGTGCACACATGTAGGTGGGTATGTATGTGTATGCAAGTACATGTGGAGACCCAAGTTAACATTGGGAATCTTCAATTGTTCTTCACCTTATCATTTGGGGCAGAGTCCCTCAATCAAATCCAGGGCTTTTCTCCCCCCCCCCTTTCTGGATTGCTATTTTGCCTGCATGTATGTCTGTGTAAGGACATCAGATCTTGGAGTTACAGTTGTGAGCTGCTATGTGGGTTCTGGGAATTCAACCTGGATCCTCTGGAAAAACAGTCAGTGCTCCTAACTGCTGAGCCATCTCTCCAGCCCCAAACCCAGGGCTTTTCGAGACAGCTAGTCTAGCCAACTTTTTCCTATCTTGCTCTGAGGATTCTGTCTCTACCTTCCAGGCTTCCAACTACAAGTGGGATGGGACATCCTTCTGGCATGTTCTGGGAGCTCTGGAGATCTGAGCTCCAGTCCTCTCAATCACTGAGCCATGTCTACAGCCCAAAGGCTACCATTTGCATGATTCCAGTCATAAGACTTTCTGGAAATGGAAACACTATAGAGGTCAGTACAAGCCAGGCATGGCAGCTCATGCTTGTAGTCTGAGCACTCAGGAGGCTGAGGCTGGAGGATTGTTTGTGAGGTTGAAGCTAGCATAGACTCGACAGACTGTGTATAAAAATAGTAGTGATTTCCAGAACAGAGATCTAACGTAGTTGACTAGGATGATGGGGAAACTTGAGAGTCCTGCCTTTTGACTGGTGTTGGTAGCATCAAGGGAGCAGTTGTACTCTACGGAGAGGATCAGCTGGTCTCAGTATGTACCTAGAACTCACCATGTCTATCAGGATGGTCTCTGCCTCCCAGGATTAAAGGTATCCACCACCACATCTGGTGCTAAATGTCAGGGGCACCAGTGGGCAAAGGCAAGGGGCCCAGTGCTGTGTCCTCTGAGGCAAGTGCTCTCAGACCAACAGCATAGTCTAGCTTGAAGGAATGTGGGCTGTCATGCCTGGGCCTGAAGTCTGGGCTGTTCTATAGTAGCTTTTCCACTTTGATCAAGTTGCCACTGAGACTCAGTTTCCTCATCTATAGAAAAAAGGTAACACTACCAAGTGCACTGAGTTGCCATGAGGATTAAACAAGTCAGATGTTAAACAGAGTGAGACAGATGTCTACTCTGAATGCCCCGTTTTAGAGATGAGCAAAGACAGGCTCAGGGAACTCAAGAGCTTTCTGCAAGGGTTCCGGTGACTGGGGTCACACAAGAAGATCCATGCCTGGGTGCAGGATCCTGTTACCCCTGACAGCAGATCCCAGCTTTTTCATAGATAGTGCCGTGTGTCCTCACAGGTGGGAGAAATGGACAGGACCCCTTGGGCTTCCTTAATATGTGTATGTGTATGCAAGTGCATATGGAGACCCAAGGTTAGCATCCTACCCTAAGGACTTCACCCCCATGGGCCAATCACCTCTGCCAATATCCTTTTCTGAATCGCCATCACTGTAGTGGGGATGGTGTCAATGAACAAGTATCAGAGACACATTTATCCTGCAGTGGTGCTGTTCTGGCTTTGAGTCTGGTACTTTACCCACAGGCTGAGCCACATTGAGCTTGGCCTGGCCAAGCTGTCTCCACCATGACTCTAGTTCTTCCAACTGTGGAAAATTTGGGTCTGGTTTTGTCCTGGCCCCAGGGTCCTTTTGCCTCTTCCTACTAGAGGAAGGACCTCACAAGTGAGACTGAGAGGTCATTGTCCACCCATTTGTATGGGTACCCCTCACCCAGATAGAGGTCTGTGTCTCCTGAAGGTATCTGGAAAATGGATGGGGAGGGTGGAGAAATCTCGTCTTGAAAACTCAGAGCAAGATCCTGTACAAGGGAGCAAAGAGTGTTTGGCCTATGAAGAGATGGTGGTGGTACAGCAAGTAGCTCAAAGAACAGGTATGACCCAGAGAGCCTGCCTTCCTGCGTCTCTTGGGCTTCTGGACATCCCAGACACCCCACAGTCATCCTAACTGATCTCACTTTGCAGTAATGAGGCTCAGGTATTTGCTAGTGTCGAGGTGCTGTCCTCCACAGTCCACCAAGGAGAGGAGGGAGGAAAGGAGAGAGGGAAGACTCGAGATGCTTTGTACTGGAATTGGGGAAAAGTTTAAGAACCAGGGAGTGCTTTGCCTCATCTGATATAGTACTGGACTGGGAGCATCTACCTGTCTTAGTATCTGGAGCCTTCCAGAATCAACACATATGACCACAGACATTCTTGTCCCCATGTAGGACTGATCTGGCACCTTCCCAAGGGTACACACTGGTTCTATTTTGTTTGGGCTGTTGGGAGCCTAGCACACAGTAGGTACTCAGTAAATGCTTGTATGTGTATGACTATCAGGTGGCTGAATCAAACACTTGCCCACCAGGAGAGGCAACTTGATTTATGTATGTCACTAGCTGCTTGCTATGTCTGCTGGCAAGTCTTGCCTTCCTCTCATCTGGCCTCAACTTCCCTCTTCCCTCTGAACCATGAGGGAGTCAGTATGATACCCACGGGATGGGATCTTTTATAAACCTTGCTTCATCCTCATCCTGATGAGGATGAGGTATAAACAGTCTCCCTTCAGACTTGCCTTAACAACCCGAGGCATCTGCATGGCTCAGCCTCACAGGCTCCTCAGAGAAAGCAGAGGCAGGTTGGCTTGGATAGCTCTGTTATCCATCTGCAGCGACCTCTGACCAGTGTTTGAGCTTGCGCTGTAGCAGAGCCAGACCCCAGCCTGGTCACTGAACCATGCTTACATTACAGTGCAGAGGAGCAGGGCTTGATGGGGTATGATGAGACACCTCCTTGTTAGCTCCCATGGAGCTCCTGTCCAGGGAGAGTCTGGGGTTCACTACATCCCACCTAGAGTGTGAAGAGCTCTTGGGATCGCTTCCAGGAATCTGGTAAGAATATTTACATTGGGCTAGAACAAAGGAGTAGGCTCAGATAAGAATTTGACATCAGGCTAGGACAAGGAAGTAGGCTCAGGATGAATATAGCTGCGGAATGTGTTTTGTATCTTGACTCCCTGTTAAGACCCTGAATACAGTAATCATGGGACATTTGCTTATGCCCAGTTTGTTCCTCAACTTCTGTTTATGCCCAGTTTGTTCCTTAACTACTCTGTTTATGCCTTAGGACTGACCATATTCTTTGATTCTAGAATGATATAAAAGCAGACCGGAAAAATTAAACTCCTTTCAGCCTTAGCACTTGCTGGAGTCATACTCTAATGTCTATTTTTTTTTTTTTTAATCCTCACTTCCTCCTTCAAGACACTGTCATCTGAGCTGGCTTAGTCACTAGAGTAAGCTCAGGGCCCTAGTGGTAACAGCTTTGATCCAGTGGGGGAGCTATGGGAGGCCAAGAGGATCTGGAATCCCAACCTGGGTGGTATAGAAAGGGCAGCCAAGGGCTGTACAGAGCCTGGCCCGAGCCTAGGCGATCATAACCACAAGGACTTATAGAGTTCTATGGCACCCTACCCCCATCCTCCTGTGAAAACTGAGGGACTGTGCTTCCTGTGTTTAACCCCCAGGAAAGGGTAGGAGATAACCGGATGGCAGGATGGGACCCTTAAGCTTCCTTATTTGAATATGGTGTTGAGAAAGGACCTTGCAGGATGGTCATTTCATCCCACTTCTAGTCCCTAGGGACAGCAAGAAGATGCTGGCTGTTGCAGATCTGAGAACTGGGCTGACTACGGTGTGCTCACAGAGCCTTGGGCAAGTCATTGACCCGGAGCTTCTAAAACCTGTCTGTTTCTAGTAACTCCAGCCTGCCACCCAGCAGCAGGGCAGATGAGTGTTAGAGCACCAGGACTGGTGCCCCACCCTACTCCCAGTCTTACTGTGGTGTTCAAGATAGCCCCACTTCTGGGCTTGCCAGCTGTGAGGAGATCTGCCACTGCTGTCTCCCACTTTGTCTTCTCTCTGCTGTTTGAAGCAAGTAGAGACAGAAGCTAGTGCCCACCCAGAGCAATGGGTGGCCTGCTGGGGGGCTCAAGTACTGCTCAGGAATTGGCATGGAAGAGGACGCCCATGACACAAAGAGACTAAAGGACAAACACTCAGGCTCTCCTCCTGCTGAGCAAAGTGACACTGCAGGAAGGCCAGAGAAGCTTTACTAGTGCTTGAAGAGTGCAGCAGCAGCAGCAGCAGCGGCAGCGGCAGCAGCAGCAGCAGTCCGTTCCCTTGGACTGGTCAGGGCTACCACGCTGGCTTTGTCTCCTTAGCTGATCCTAACAGGAGGCGAACTCCTTGGAGGTTCTCTGTGCGCGTAGGACCAGCTGGGACCTGCATTGATCACATCACACCCAGAGATCATCTACTTGAGAAAACATAACAGTGGCACACAATGGTCAACACACAGTAGGCACACACAGGTATGGGGAAGAATGGCTGCTGTCACGGGAGAGAGGGTGGAACCAGGGACGCCCTACACAGGGATGTCCAAGGTGCCTCAAGTCCCCAGCCTCTGGTGCAGGAACTGAGCCATGGCCCTGAGAAGGGCTCCTATGTACCAGATCTTGCTGTTTCAAAGCTGGTATACTCCCCAAGAAGACAGGTCTGTCAGCTGTGTGAACATGAGGGTGGAAGCAAGGCAAAGGGGCTGTCGAACACTCAGGATCAACTGTTTATTGAGTTTTGTTGTTGTTCTAAAATACTATACATTTAAAGGAGTTTCTAAACATTAAGGACTTTACAGCTTTTGGTCATTCTGTAGCTTAGGAACAGGATTTCTGCTGGTAAGATCTCATGACACACAGGCACTACGAAACAGTGCTCATGCCAAACGCTGAAGAAATACAAGTTGCTGATGTGCACCATTGCACACTGTCCGAGTTAACAAAATAAAGTCCTCTTTGTGCCCATTCTTGGGGCTCACAACAATCAATCCCACTGCACCTGAGGACAAGGGCAATTGGAGGAACTTATGTGTGTGTGAAGGGGGGGAGTGGAACCCCTCCAACTCTCCAGTGAGTGGCACAGGGACTGTGAAGCCTGTGACGACTACAAAGTCCTAGGAGCTTTTCCAGTGCTCTGTCATGGAGCTTGGAGCCCTGGCCAATGAGAATCAGTCTTCTCAGCAGCTCCATTCAGAGGCCAGAGCCACATCTTAACTGGGTAGGGCTGTTAGCCAGCCAGGCCTGTGCTTCAATGCCATGGGCTTCAAGCAGTTGACCAGATCTGCTGTCAGAAGCCACGAGCTCTCATTCAACAGTGGGTGAACTCTATAGATTCTCTGAATATCAAATAATATATACAGATATACATCGAGACACAATGGTATAATGTAAAGCATCTTAGTCTACAGAGGCAGCTGTTTTGAAAAGTTAGTCTTCTTACTGTTAACTTTCCAAATCCCTAATAAAACTGTTAATCTGCAAAAATTGAAGCAGGGACAGAGTGAAAATAGTCTCTAAACACGGAAGTATTGGGGCGCTGCACAAGGTTACCCCTGCAATGGCACTGGCCATGGATCCCCTGCTGCAGCAACCCCACATCTGGACACAGCACAGAGAAATGAAGACAGCCCACATGGAGAACATCTCAGATCAGTGTAGGCCATAATTTAACTGACTGGAAGAGCATATAAAAAAGTATAACTGTACATTGCCTTTAAATTAAAACCTCAAGCTCTTTACTCAGAAAATGGCATGTAAGTCTGTTCACTGAACTTCCAGGTAGGGCCTCATCAGAGAAAATAATCAATGGAACAAGAATCAGTGTGCTCCGTCATTGACTCAGGAGAGACAAGGGCAAGAAGGTGCAGATCCATGATAGAGAGAGCTGGTGGGGGTGGGGAGGGGCCTGGCTCTCGCTGTTGGACCGTATCCTTCCTGTGCCTAGATCTGCCCAGATCTGCTTAGAAAGGGGCCAAGTGCCCAAGGAAGTCACCAGCTCATCTGCCTTCAAAGTACACCAGGAAGCCAACAACAACAGAACCATTGTCTTTTGCAGGTGGAATAGATGCCTACATGGCTGCTGGGGGCACTAGAGGTGTCACTGCCCAGGCCAAGGCTAACGGAGCTCCTCAACTGCCCATTTCCATCTCTCCGCCAGCCTGCCCATGAACTGTCACTGGATAGCCTCAACATAGTTGGCTGGGTATAGGCCAACCTGGCCGCTGTCTAAACGCCCCTTGCACCAACCCTGTTCATCTTCATCCTCTATCTTGGTCAGCTCATCCCCTGCAAAACAAAAAAAGGGTGGTCTTAGTGAAAGGGTAGGCAACACTGACCACAGAAAGTCATCTGTGTATACAAATACCATGTGGATATAAAACATGCTTCTAGAAGGATCCACAGAAGGTCTCCAGGGCAGAGGGATGGGCATCTTCCTGAAGGTAAGGCAAGACCCTGGATATTTCACTACTAATTTGTATTCAAAGTTTCTGACACAGAGGCCACTGTGATCTGAAGATGGCAGCTCTCTGAGCGACCCTGGAGCAAGCAGCAGTCCAGATTATAACCGTTACCGGTTCAGCCTTGCGACTATCCTGTGTGTCCCAGGCTGCCTTGCTTGGCAACATGCCCCATGTTTTCATTCTGTGTGGTAGTTCAAGGTGTCTTTGGGACTTTGAGGTTTTACTTCCTGAGCCACCACTGGCCTAGCAGAGACCTGGACCAACAGGGTCTGCTCCCTAGAGACTTAACATCTGCAGACAAGGAGACCACCAAATGCTAACACGTGAGGCTGCAGAGAGCCTGAGTGTGCTGTTATCACAGCCCAGGACCTCACTCTATAGGCAGTAAGGGAAAGGGGCCTGGTGGAAACTGCCTTAGTTCACAGTGAAGACAGAGGGTGGGTCTAGAAAGATTAGCATATTGAAGTCTGCAGCACTGAAGAGGATGAACAAGATTAGTAGGCACATGAGATACCCAAGCTACATAGCAAAGAGGAAGGACAGAATTCAGGACTGGTGATGGCACTCAGACTAGCTTCCAAAGCCTTTGAAGGACACATTAGTCATTACTGTTCTTATAATCTTGCTTCTAGTGACAGCTAAACAGTTAGCATGGCTTCTTGTGAGAAGCGTATGCCCAGGGGAGCTGAGACAAAGAGCTGACACTGAGGTCACTCAGAAATATTGCAGCTGCATGGCTTGGAGGCTGTGATATTGACTATTGTGTTAAGAGACAGGTTGATGATGAGTAAACAGGAGAAAACAGAGCTCTTAATATAACTGACAGCACAGAGATGCCTACACAGTCAGCAGTACCAACAGCAGCCTGTGGGTGACTGACAGTGAAGGGTGATGGCCAACAAAGCACAGGTCAGGGATGGACAGATGGCTTTCATCGGGCCCTAACATAGCACAGTAGCATCTTCCTGGGACAGGATCAGGACATGCAAAATCGGGTTGAGGAAAGGTACTGTAGTGAAGATCCTCACTAGCAAGAACTTGACTTCAAAAACAAAAGACAAGTCCCCTCAGCAGGCTGGAGGCCTCTATTCCCAGGAGAGTATTTGGGGAGGTTACCTACCAGCCTTGAAGCTCAGCTCATCATGTTCCTGCCCCTCATAGTCATAGAGGGCGCGAACTCGCACTTCCGTTCCTGAGGTAGTGTCCTCATCAAATGGGTTGGAGTCCCCATTGGCATCCGTGGAAGAGAAAGGGTTGTTAGACTCATCGTCAGACCAGTCAGTAGGGTAATTCTGAGTCTTCTCATAGCTGCTGACACTGCAACAGAGGATGATGTGAGGCTCTTAGCATACGACTGACAGAGAATGGGTCCCCACCCAGAGTTCCTGCCCCACAGGCAGGTGCAGCCAGGCTCCTCAGAGCCTTCATGCCATCCACACTCATCCTGAGCCCTCACGAGAAGCTGGAGGCTGTGAGTATCCCAGAGGAGTGCCTGCAGGTGGAGCTTTACCCACTTCAGCAGGTCCCTGATTTATACTGCCTGTCTGTCTTCCTGTAGTGGTGCTGCTCAGGCCTTAAAGGGTTAACACAGGACAGAGAAAAAGCAACCGAAGAGTGTTAGCTGTGCCCTCCCAGAGAGGTGGCGAGGCCCAACACTGTCCCAGCAGGTCTGGAACACGCCCAGGTCCTGCAGGACCCATGCACTGCTGAAATGCTGAGGGGTGAGACCCCAAGAGACCCCTGGATAGAGAGAGGAGACACAGAGCGAGGTGGAAGCCAGAGGGAAGTAAGCATGTGTTCACCAACTTTTTGGCCTTAATGTCCTCCTTCTCACTGACGCTGCTGCCCGTGTCGTCCTCATCCTCGAAGGGGTTGTAGCTGGACTGTAACTGCGTGGACTGGGCGGGGTTGCTCGGGACACTAAGGTTGCTATGGGGAGAAAGACAGCTTTCAGGGATCACAGCATGGGGCCCACTAAAGGCCCTGGTGAGGAAGACAGAGACAGTATCTCTAGAGTTACAGCAGCTCCTCATCTAATGAGAGGAGAAGGGTGTTGACTGAAGATTATTTTAGTCAGAAAGTGGCTGTATGTTGATGAGTCAGCATACCTTGATCAACTGTAAGTTAACTGTCCACTGCACGTGCACGAGTACCTCCTGTTTCAGGGGTCTCCAGTCCCTTAGCACTCATTTCCACATAAGGCTTAGCCAGTGGGACAGATGGACACAAAGCAGCAGCCACAGGAAGACTGTATCTATGGAGCAGGGGACTCCCCAGCTCTGTGATGACCCCTCTAACTACTCAGTAGGCCACTGGCCAGCTCCCTGGTGCCAGGGTTTCCACTGTCAGAACTAAAGCTCGCTGCATAGAAGGTCTTGTAGTCCTCTGCAGTCAAATCATTCTTGTAACTTTGCCGATTTCCTCCCAGCCCAGTGTTAACTGGAACGACACTGAGCACTAGGGAGAGCGACGAGGGGCTGCAGGGTGGAGAACACTACTGTCAGGGAGCCACCACAAGAAGAACGTAAGAAAGAGTCACCCAAGGCCAGCAGTACTCAATCTGTGGGTCATGACCCCTTTGTAGGTGTGCTAAATGATCCTTTTACAGGGGTCACTTAAGACTATCAGAAAACAGACATTTTCATTATGATTCATGAAAGTAGCAAATTTACAGTTATGAAGAAGCAATGAAAATAACCTCATGGTTGGGATCATCACACCACGAGGAACTGTAACAATGGGCCGCAGCATTAGGAAGGTTGAGGACCACTGGGCTCTCTATATCTGTGGCCAGGGCTTAGGTCAGCAGCATCCTTAAACTGAGCAGCTACCACCCCAGAGCCAAGCAGGTGAGGATGGGAAACCCCTCAGAAGCCAGGGTGACTGTGACTGGCTGTCCGTGTACAGGCAGTGTGTTTTACACTAGCAGACCCTCTGCCTTCCTAACCTCCCTGCTCTGGCTAACTTTGGAGGGTCTCGGAGTCCCAGTTCCTTCCATCCAAACCCTAGGCTTAGGCACACCAGGAGGACCTCTTAGTTCCGAGGTTGGGGACTCAACACAGCTTTCTGCAGAGCCTCCAAGCCCAGTAGTTGAGCAGGACCAGCTTTATGTGACTGAGGAGCCAGGGATGGTAGGGGCTTAGTGTCTGGGCCATAAACAAGTCACTGACTAGAACCTGAGTGAAGGTGACCATTATCCAAGCAGGAGCCTCTAGCCAAGTCCTACAGCATGCACTTTCCAGAATGTTCTGATGACCATAGTTGGTACTTGTTCCATCCACAAGCTTTTTAAGACAATGAAGTCAGAGTCTTGATGATAACAGGGTGCTCTGTTCAGGTGCTGGGGTTGACCCGAGGGTCTTGACTTGCCAGGCAAATGATCTACTGCTGAGTTACACTCATAGCTTATTCAGAAATAACTAACACTAAGTAAGGGGGACATCTGACGATCCCCCACTGTCCTGCATCTGTTGGCAACTTCACACAGAAGTCCCAATGGGACAATCCCACTGATATGTCTCTATCTGCTGTGTGTACTCAGGGCTGCCCCATGGGGATGAACACAAGCAGCTAAGACCAGCACCTCCCTTACCAGGATGGGTACAATGTACAAAAGGCTCCTTCTCTGGATCTTTCAGGAGCTCCAGCATGCGCAGGAAGAGAATAGAGAGATGGGCTCCACCCAGAGCTCAGAGAGTTCCCAGAACATTTGGGAATCATCCAAATGCCCAAGATGATGGTATCCTAGGACCTGCAGATGTCCTCATTTCTGAGAAGATGGTCAGTTTCAACTGAAGCTGTGACTGGATCTCACCTGCCAGGCTTGTTCTGTCCAGACTGGTCACCTGTCTGGTTGATTCCTGTTAGGGTAACACCATCAGCAGCCTTCTTCTTCTCTCTCCGGCTGAGAGTTCGATTCAGATCTGCAGACCACTCCTGGGCAAGGGGCCATGGGAAGGAAATGGGAGGTTCATATCTGGGGAACCACAGTGGTCCGAAACACCTGCTTAGCCAGCCCTACCCACCCCGTGCAATTGCAACTTTAGCCTTGTGGGCCCTGCTCTCTCGTTTCCAGCAAACCTCAAGCTGCCTCTTAGGCCTTAAGGTTATGATGGTTGGTACCCAAATAACCACAGGGCCCTGACATCAAACAGCAGACTTTATAGGACATGTTGGTGACAACAGAACTAGGTCTGAAGGATGGGGACAGAGTTTAGTGGTAGTGTGTCTGCCTAGCATACATAAGGTCATGGGTTCTATCCTCAGCAACACACATACCACGTATCTATCCCCTCAGCCTCCATCCCAGAAATATTGCATCATGGCTGATGATGCTTACTGTCTTTTATTACAGTCCTGGAGCGCCTTCTAATCCCATTCCTTGCTCACCATGGCTCTTAGGCTCCATACTCCCTGTGCCAGGGTGGGCTCCTGTGTTCTCGAGCCAGTCCTGTGGGGAGCCTGGCTGAGGCACGAGGCTTAGTCCTTAAGTACTAAGGACCTTTCCCATTTATGCTCTGAACTCTAAGTCACCATGTAAACAGCTATCTGAAGAATCTGAGAAAGTCTGCTACATAGGAAACTGAAAATAAAATCAGAGGCTAGGTGGCTATCTCATGGCAGAGAAGGCTGACAGAGAGGCACTGAATGCTCAGGTCTCCAAAAGATACTCCCTGATATGTCATGCCAGGCTTTTTTTTTTTTTTTTGAGACAGGGTATCTTTGTGGTGTTCTTGGCTGTACTAGAACTCACTCTGTAGACTAGGCTGGCCTTGAACTCAGAGATCTGCCTAACTCTGCTTCCCAAGTGCTGGGATTAAAGGCATGCCCCCACTACTACCTGGCTTGTAGTACCACTTTTAGTAAGAGTGACATGCTAGCAACCAGAGAATAAGAGTAACCTGCTGGCAACTGGAGGAAAGAGGGTTTATGTCCTGTTGTGGATTGCCCTGGTACTGTTGGTATTTTGATGTTAATTCCACTTCCTCAAGAGGGGGTGCCCCAGGGAGGAATGGATCACATACTCAGGTGATTTCATGTGAACCTTCTCCCCATTTTAACTGGTCAAACAAATGTTAGAGCCTGTGATCGGGCAGTAGAAGGGAAAGGTGGGGCTGGAAGTTTTTGAGAGGGAGGAGAGAGGCAGATGAGGAGACGAGGAGACAGAAGAAGACGGAGGAAGAGGAGGTGGGAGGAAGATGGAGCAGAACCACATGGCCTGTAGAAGCCGCAAGCATCCAGGGATCTCCTAGCTGGGGATAGAGTAGTGTGGGGGTACAGTAGTGCGGGGTACCTCTGCCCAGTCTAGGTGTGCTAGATTATAACTGAGTTGTGTGTTCTTTACAAGGGCTTATTGTGGTTGGCGATTTACTACAACAATGTCCCCAAAGGGTTTCTGTTTTCCCAACTAACTACTGATATATATAACTGGAAAGGTGCTAGGTCTTGATTTTCCAGAAAAATACCATGTATTATATCCTTAATGAGTTCTCCTTACCTCCCATCTCCACTTATCAAACAAATATGCTTATAATCAGTACGATGGCTAACCAGGTAAAAGCACTCGCCTTGAAAGAGAGACAACCTGAATTCAAGCCCCATACCCCGTGTAATGATGGAAGGACAGGACCAGCTCTACAAAGCAGGCTTCTGACTTCACACTCCCTCTCTTCTCCCTTCATTCCCCCTGATACACACACAAATTAAATTTAAATCTAATGTGCCTTAGTACACAGCTTTGTTCTCTCTTACAAAATATCAGGGGCACAAGTCATCTTAGATTTACATTAAGCCTAGCGTTTGATTTGTCAGATGAGAAAATATAGAGGCCAAGAAAAACTGAGGCCTATACACAGTCTTGGGACATAGACCTCGGCCCACATCATCTTGTCTATTAATGACTGTGCTGATGGAAACAAGTCGACTAAAGACTCAGTTGGAACCTCAAGTTCCCTACGTGACCTCTAAAAATAAATGGACTCTAACAGGGCAGCTCTTGGGGACTGATGGGATCAGCACCAGGAACTTTGGAAGGAAAGGCTAATGTCAACCTCTGCCACAGAACTGGAGGCTAGTACAGACGGGACTGAGTGGGCTGACTACATGCAGCAGGGAGCTTGGTGATCCATGAATTAATTATAAAATAGGAACTTACTTCATCCTTGTGGCATGAAAAATGAAAACAACTTCATTAGAGAAAGTCAGACACAACCTGGTATCAGCTATCAATGTGAACATGGGGAACACAGGAGGGCTGCTTCCCAGCCAGGGGCCCACAGAGAGGAGCCACAGACTGTGTTTTCCGGGAAGAAGAGCCCTGACCAGTCTTTTCCACAGTTCCCCTTGTAGGCATAGCAGGCACTCTGAGGGAAGCAGAGAGTATCATACAATGGTGCCCTGGGCCACGCTGGAGCAACATGTAGAATGGAAGCTGAAGCCAAGCTACGCCTAAGACAGCACTCGAGATACTTCCCAGTGTGCTGTGCCTGGGGAACGAATATTTCCTCTATGGCCCCTTCTACTAGAAAAGGCCCTGGACCCCAATGTCTCCTGGGGCCCCACCTGTTCTGCAGCCTCCTGATGGGTATATTTAGGGGGTGCTCAGCACAGCTCGTGTCATCTGGAGATATCCTGAACTTCCAGAACACACAAGTGTGGCAGTGAGGGCTGACATGGTAAAGGGCTGAGGAACTTGTGGGGAGCCCAGGTGTATGTGATGACCCAAGCACAGATCAGCTTATGCGCTGCAATAACTCTGGGTTGCTATTCATACTTTAACATGGAAAAACTAAGCCACACAGCAGATACCTGCAAGCTCCAGTCCCACAGCTGCTACAGCGTAAGGACGGATGCAGCCCAGGCTCTGGCTACGGTCAGGCCAAAAAAGCCATAAGGCCATGCTGGAGGCATCTGTCTGGCTTGGAGGACTCTTCTCAGCAGTTCCAGGGTGGGGGCCCATAACGCACTCAGTAATGAGGAGGACAGAATGCCTTCCTTCAGGGAACAAGGCTGGTAGTACTTCTGGCCACTACCTTCTACACCACAGTCAGGGAACTGAGTGAGCCTGGTGATCAAACTCTAGCCTCAAGATCCCAAGGCCCCCAGGTTTATAGCATAAAGACAGTGCACAGCCCACAAAATTGAAGATTTACAGCCCAAGGCAGGAAAAAGCACCCAGAAAATGGTTAAGAAACGTAGCTCATTGATACTGGCCCCACCTGGGGACCAATATAAGGCCTGGAGACTGAATGGCCACGTGACTTCTGTGACACCCTGTATGGTGGAATAAACACAGTTTTTTTTGTAAGGCCTGGAGACTGAATGGCCACGTCACTTCTGGGATACCCTGTATGGTGGGATAAACACAGTTTTTTGTTTTTTTTTTGGCCTGGGACAAGAAGGTAGTGCCAATGGTAAGTGATCGTATCCAAAACAATTTAGATACAGTGCCTGGGACGCTAGACAGGATGATTGCATATACAAAGCAGGGAGTGAGAACAACATTTATAGCTCAAGTAGAGGGGTACAGGTCTCAGTCCCCAATTACAGGTGAGCAGAGTTGTAGGGACACAACCTCCTTACCTCAAACTGTGGCCAGTTCATAGCCATGCCTGGCCCATGGTTAACCCGGAACCACCTCAGGTCCTCTACCGCATCAGCTGCTTTGATGCTCTGCTCCAGCTCTCGGTAAATGGTTTTGTAGCTAAATCAAAGACAGAGAGAAGAAAGCTCTATAAAAGACAGGGCCAGCCACCATTCCTTACAGTCACAGACTGTAGCCTGCATGACAGTTTCTGTAGCCTGCATATGTCTGTTTCCCATAGATGAGGAACACAATTTTCTGGCCGTCACATGTACAGATGCAGACACCATCCTCCAGAACCTGGGACCCACCAACAAACCAGGCAGCACACTGACGCTCGCCCTGCATCATCAGATCCTGGTGTGCTGTGTGGGTAGAGCTGTACAG